AGCAGTTGATTTTTGGCTTTAATAATCTTGTGAGTAGACTGTCACAATTCATTTTTTTCTCCAAAATTAAATTTCATTCAACAGATTCCTACTGTTTTGAGTTATTACATTGAATTTTGTCTTCCTGGTTCCTCTGTTAACACTTCTGTGGCTTGTTTGACATCTCTTATAGACAAGTATGATCTTTGAATTGTGCATATAACTTTCAATGACTGATCTCAATATTCATTATCCAGTCAATTCTTCATTTTCAAGAAGATACAGGTGAATGAGCTAACACAGCATTCCAAGCCACTATTATGTAGCTGCTGAACTATGCTTAGGACAAGGGTTTCTTGCTTTCAGGTTTTAGATATACATACATTTGCCAATTAAAATGATAAGAGGTCAAGCTCAGTAAGTCCAGAATAACCTATAATTCATTTTACAAGTGTTTTCACTGTCTACTAAAAGCCAGGACAAAATGAAGTAATATCTACAAGGAAACATAAAAAGTAGAGAACAATCTCTTTCTGTACTGAACCCAAATTTATAAATTCACATATTTAACTATAAGATTAAGCTTAGATTAGAATTTTATATTTTATACTACCATGTACAGTATTTTACACTTTAACATGACTCTTTTAAAAAATGTTAAGAGAACTATTTTCAGGTTTTATCAAATTTGTCGAAAATATTTATTTTTAGGACATTATTCATTTATTTTCTCAAACAGTTTGTAGCTACTGATTGCTGTGTGAGATTTTCATAAACTTGGGATAGGTTATAAAAATAAAACTAAACCCTTACTTAAAAGGTAATTTTAAGTACTTATGTTAGCATGAATTTAAAATTGTATTTTAAAAATGTAACTTTTTCAAGGGTATTCAATAACCTCTAATGTGTAAAATGCAAGGTTAAAAGATTCTTTTCTAAGGCAATAATCACGGTTGTCTATCAGAAACTCACCTCATCTTATGGCAGCTTTAAGAGTTTCAGCAAAAGGCTTACTTGGTTTCATACCAGATATCAATGAAGAATGAAAATGGCACTTTGCTGATTGGTCCCCGATAAAGGACTTGGGAACTGCATAGTCATCCCAAATTCTAGACTCTCCACATATGCTCTGGGTCTCCATGTCTGAAAGGCTCATGACAGTTGTTTGGCCAGTTTTGTCTGAGTCTAAATTTCTACCTCAAAACAATGCATAATATTTCCCTTCTCTTTAATTCTGCTTAGAACATGCAATGTAGACATACCTGCTGTCTACTTTTTTTCTCCTTCACTATTTTAGAACCTAGGTGCTAACAATCTAAAGGGCAGAAATAGTGTTCCTGTAGTCAAGACTTGGTAGATTTACACCCAAGAAAATTATTACTTTTCTATATAGCGACACTACCACTGAAGGGTCTGATTCAAGATTCCATTTTCTAAGATTATCTTGTACTTAATTCTTTAAATTCAGAACCTGTTTCTACTACCATTTTGGGAAGAACTAAAGTTTAGAAAAAATAATACTATAAGAAAACACTTACATGAGTTTTAATTTTGTACAGTATGCAATATTCTCCCATTCCTACCTCAATCAACCCATCATTTCTAAACCAGAATTTTCTCCTGAAAATTTTATACAACTAAAATTTTTCAGTTTTAAACAAAAAAATTAAATCTTCATATATTTTGTTTCTTATGTCTCATACAATAAAATACCTCTATTTTCTAGAGTATATTTTTATTGGATTGTTATAATTTTTTAGCTTTTCTGGTATATCACAGATTAGCTAAAAGAAAATATAACTACTATTTTGAATGAGATTTTCAATTTGATTACCTTTTCATTAATGGGTAAAATAAATCAAAAGAAATAAAGTATCTTTATTATAGTTGCCTTTATATTTCATAATCTATTCTGGGGGGTTACACATCTGTAAGTAAAATTAAACACAGGAGACAAGGATGCATAACATATAAAAGTACTTTATTTTAATTTTAAAGGGAGTAAAACAGAATAGTAAAGTAAAACAAAACAAATCAGTGATAGGATAGTAAGATATCCACAATTATTATTATATTGCATATTATTGTCCTCTAATTCCCAGGCTAGCAAAGTCAATCAAACAACATAATTGTCAGTTTGTTTCCTTACCATCTCAGCCTGTGTCACGTCTGGTTGCCCAGGGAGTGCAGGGGAAGGGTTTGCTGGAGGCAGAGGCAACTTCCTTCTTGTTTCTCCCAAAGTGGGAAATCCTTCACTGTCACGCGGTGGGTGGGTGTGGAGATTGAATTTCTTCCTCGTCGTTTCCCCCATCTGGCAAGGCCACTGCCTGATTTTCTTATTTTTGCTGGGCTCCTGAATTATCTCTCTTCATGGGTTTCAAGTCCCAGTTCAGATCCTTCCTGTGTCCATGGGACCCTCTTCTCACCTCCTCCTCTTCCTCATGTTGCTGTACTCTTAGGGTCTGGACACCAAACTTGGAGAAGTTCTTTTTCTGCTGCTCACCACTCTGCCATTTTTCTGGAAGCCCATAAAATGCTTTTCTAAGCATTCCATTGTCCTTTTTTAATATTTAAAATTTACAAATTGTGTATTATTTGGCACTGAACTCAGTTGCCTGAAATGTGAAGAGCATCTGCAAGACCTTTTCATTTTGTCTATCTTGGGGCAAAGGATCACAGTCTATAGTTACGACGTCTTTATCGCTTTGTAGAATTTTCAAATATAAGAAAGTCTCTTTTCTTTTTCCTGAAATACATCTTCAGTTTGTCGTGTAAAATTATGTTATTTAGATATTTATGATGTCACCTTTAGTTAGAAGATGACTTTCAACAGAATTATTTTCCAATCCCTGATCATGGTGGATATTCTTTTACTCCATTAATATAGGCTGAGTAATAAATTATAAATAGGCATTAGAAATTTGACTTACAGTACAATAAATAACTTCTCTGACAAGCTTTATATACATATTTCTTCTTTTTAAACATTGTCATAAACTTAAATTTTCAAAAACAACTATCAGTATAAAATCATATTTTAATCATAAATACCAAAGTATTAACATTTGATTTGTGGACCTTTGTTCAAATTTCATATATGTGTGTATGTGTATATATGTATACACACACATGGGAGAGAGAGAGATGTTATATACATACAGTTGCATTTGTGTAAATATGTACATAATTGCATGAGTATATATGTGTGTTCATGTATGTAATGTGGTGTATCTATTTTACCTATAGAGTTTTGGCAAGTTTTTCTTTAAATATAAAAAATATTCACATGAATAATCTACTCATTTTCTTTTTTCACCATTCTGGCGTGGAGACTGTTGGCCATTCATGGTCATCTTAGCTACATTTTCAACAATGTGTTGGCAATTCTTGGAGAAAGCACTGTGAGTGATATGAAGACAGTGAGGTTTATGGCACTTTAATAGCAATTCCAGCTTCTTGATGTTGTGGACCAAGAATTTCCAGAAACCACTGAGCAGCGTATATTTTGTTTTATTGTTGCTTCCACAACTAAAGGTTTGTATTGATGTTGTTTTCTCACAACTGAATGATCCAGACCAACTATACACACTATCTAAAGATAGCCACTATCCAAAGATAACTCATTCACCTTGCACCCTGATGACAAAACCACTACACAGATATCAGGAGTATCTTAAGTAGTTAGCATGGGAAACAGAAAAATATACTCAATTGTACATTCATTTATCTTAATAATTTGATTTATCATCTATTACTGGTAAATTACTTTGTATCATTCTCAAATGACTATTTAATCTTTATTTTTTTGTTTAGCTTTTGTTTTTAAAATTCATTTCATTATTATGGTGAATGACAGTTCGTAACACCAGCTTGACAGAGTCAGTATAGTTTTGGGTGTGGATGGCCCACCTGAGTATTTTTATCAACAGCACAAAAATAGAACTAACTGATGGGGAAGATGGCATGTTGTTCCTGGAGGGGCCTGTTGACTGGTCTTACTGATATGAACTCAGCTGTTCTCATCATTAGCAGAGCTTGAGTCTTTGCTGTTGCTGAAGATGGGTATACTTCTCTTTGGGGGAGATCTGATCCTTACCTTGAAAATCATTCCTAGCTCCAGCCTGCTGAGACAGATTCTTCACCCCACTGGCATAGCAGACTTTCTAGATTCCTCACTGGTCTTTGGGCCTTCCCAGTGTAGATCCCTGATACAGACTTGCAGGAGACATTTTCCTGGGCTCTAGGCCTCCAGCTGGACTAATGGAGAACATTGCCATGGTATGCAAGCCCTCAACTAGATTTTTTGGGTCTGTAGCCTGTGAGCAGAACTCTCACACTCCTCTGCATTTGACTTAAAAAAAATTTAAATGAAGAAAGAATACAAACAATGACACAACAGAAGACTAACAATGGTTAATTATATTGCATAGACTGCAGGGTGAATATTGTAAAACTAATTTTATAAATTGTACATCTTGTATTAAATCAATTTCCTTGTAAACTAAGAATATCATAATTATTCTTTTTGCTTATCATTCCAGAATAGATCCAATTGGTTAATTTCCAAATATAAAAGTATTGTAATACTTACTGTTTTTTTTTTTTTTTACACTTTTTTTTTTTTTGTCTTTTTCGTTTTTATCGGTACCAGGGATCGAACTCATGACTGCCTGCTTGCAAGGCAGGCGCTTATGCCGCTGAGCTAAATCCCCAGCCCCTAATACTTACTGTTTTTAAGTAATTCCTAAAATCTTTTTGGGGCCGAGTACTAGGGGTCAGGCAGGCGCTTATGCTGCTGAGCTAAATCCCTGGCTTAAAGATTTATAATATTGGTTCTAAAACTTTAAATTGTAATGAACACTTTTGTCATTATGGATGCATAGTCATTAAAAAATGAAAAATGTACCTAGGCCTTGGTCACATAAAAACTGGAGAAGGGAAAGTACGAGCAATACAAAGACAGAGACTTTCAGGGTTTCAGATTATAATGTTTTATTAGATAAATAGAATTAGTGGGAGGACAGAATTTTATGAATTGCTTAACATTTGTCTAAATTAGATCTAAATTTTTCCACTATGAGTAATTATCTATGATTATTATAGGAAAATTTAGAACTTGAAATTGTAGCACTATGTTGGTAATTAATCACAACTTCCCAATGCCAATTAATGTTTTTAAATAATATACAAAATAATGACAAAATTCATCAGCTTCTTAACAGTCAGAGATGAAGAAAAATTACAAAGAAATGACATGATTTTATTGACTCTACAAACTTAATATTACTCAACAAACTATTTGCCTAATGATATATTTTGTATTGAATAACACATTTTCAAAGGTATATCATTTTTATGCTGATTCATATGAATGGTTTACTTTGGGGGCTACATGCTTAATTTTATTTTTATAAAGACAGCTCAGAACAGATATATGGATTTATAGCCATTTAAACTTTACTGTAAAATTTCAACTGCTGGATTAATTAAAGCTGTTTTGTTTTCCGCTTCTTCCAGTAATAAATGTATTTTTTTTTTACAAAAAAAGAAATTAAGAAAACTATCTGATATCTTAGTAACTACATAGAATTAAAGAACAATCTCACCTGTGTTGTAGTGTAAGACCGGTGTCACAAGGAAGACTCCAAGGGCCTCGCTCTCATGCAAGAACAAAGGGGTTTTTATTATTCAGTGTACACGGGGTCCTCCAAACATGTGGAAATGGAGAACCCTGAGTTGGGGCAAGGCTGGTGTTTTTAAGGGGGAAAAACTGCAATGTAAGTGTTTATTACAGAAGCCAATCATTATAGTTAGTGCGGAGCGGTGGGCATCTTGTCTATCTGCTATTGGTCAGTTCATAAGGGGTGACCAGCGGGTCAGAGTTAATTAACTGTCTTTGTTCTGCACAACTTATCTTTAAGACACCTGGTTTCTGTAGGCTCGAGTCTGACATATTTTACAACCCCGATTAACATAATGGCAGGCTCTATCTCTGAGTTCCCTGGCACAGCACATCCTGAGAAAATCACAGCCACAGATTTTTTTTTCTTCCTTCAGGGCTGAGTTAGGACTGAGTCACGAGGCCCAGTGCTATTTCTAGCTGAGAAACAGCATCTTGTTTTTAACCTTTAAATTTCTGGCTCTTCATTCCCCCCTCTTGATGTATAATACCTCTAATCTTAGAGGTTTAATTTTAGCTAAGGGGGTATATTGTTGTCTAAGGACCATTATTTTCATCTGAGAGACTTGGGAGTTAATAAACTGAGTTATGTGATTTATAAAGAAACCTGCAGAGCCATCAAATTTGTTGACCTGAGTCTGGAAACTGTATTCTTGTCCACTTAGCTCTGACAATCTTGGAGTTTCTGGTGTTTTTTAAATTACTCCCATCCTGCAGACTGACATTATCTCAGAGTGGCACATCTGTAGCAATATTTGGGGAAGAAAGTGGACAGTTAATTATCCCAGGACAGCTCGTTTTCGCGAGTGGGTGCGAAGAGGTCAAGAGTTACAAGAAGCTGAAACTTAAGTTTTACAAAGATCTGATATCTAACTCATTTGATGTATACAGAACAAAAGGAAAGCACCGATTGGGGTTTGGGCCATAGTATTTCCCGGTAATTTCTTTGAAGCTAAACAGTTCTTAAACTTTGGGGCAGGCTCATTTTATGACAGATCATCACCGGCTCGGGGAGAGGTCACCAGAAGCCCAAATATTTTTATGGCCTAGGTATATAGGTGAGGGGAGAGGGAGGCAATAAGGCCCCATACAGAACAGAAAATGGCGGTCATGTGTCAAGGTCAGGGTACAGGGTTAAACTCATATGCAAATCTCCCTGTATACAAGCAGGTTACTTTAAACAAATGTAAATTAATTGTCATTTTAGTTTTCTTTAGCTCTTTAGCGGATAATAGAGGCACCTAGCAGTGATTAACAACCCTTGTTAGCTTGTTGTAGCACAGCTTCTGTAGTTTGTAGAGGGCAACAATGGTTAACATATCAATTAGGTGAGATTTTTGCAATTCTTTACAGAGGAGAGTGTTACTCAACATATCAATTAGGTCACTTAACATATCAGTTAGGGAAAAAGGAAAAAAAAAACATTTATAAGCCACTTTACAGGTTTGCTATAATACACACATAATGAAGCTATTTTCTTAGAGTACAACATTTCCCATTGATTGACTCATTAGCATCTGTTTATAACCTTGTATGTGTCTTTAAAATCATAAGCTTTTAAGAACTTTGACATAGTTTATCAACTTGTTTACAATACAAGGCCCAGTAGGAGGATTGACAAAGGTCTTGCAGCTGTCATTAAAGCTGTTAACCAAAAGGAGAAAGAAAACCAACATTTAAATTTACTCTGTTTTATCATACAAGTAACAATTTTTAAGTCAGACAGAGGCCTCCTTAGGGTCTCTACAAAGGAGGAGAACACAAAATTATCAGTTATATTAGACAATCTTAAGCTTTAAAGTGTCCTTGGAAGAAATGACAGTTCACTTATCCTCAGGCTGATGGTCTTTTGAAGCTGGGACATGTCTGCAGTGGGAACGTTGAATCCAGGCAGGCTTTCAGCTACTTTGACAGTCCATTGCAGCTCAAGAGATTTACGGTAAGGTCGCTTGTCCAGGTGCCTAGCCTCTTTAGCTCGCAGAGGGCAGCAGCAAAATAACCAGTGGATGGAAGTCACAGCTAGCTGAAAAGTCTGGGGGAGACTTAATAAGATCTTGATTAGTTAAATCAGCTAATTTCTAGAAACCTTTTCACATAAAACCTCAAAAGAGGAAATATCTGTAACATAGGGGATGCATCACGCATGCAAAAGGGGCAGAAGGAAAAGAGACTCACCCAGTTTTCACCAGTTTTTAAGGCCATTAGTAATTATGGTCTTTAAAATCTGACTTATCTTTTTACCTCTCCTGAACTCTGAGGCTGGTAAGTCCAATTGAGTTTTTTTTTAATTGATCTGTAAAGCTTAGGTTAATTTGAGTTACTAGGCTATAAAAGCCAGGCCATTGTCGGACCCCACGGATAAAAAGGGTGACCAAATCAGGGAAACTGTTATCAGAGCTGACTCAGACTAAGTAGAAAACGCTTTTACTCATCTATTGAAAGTATTAACCATTATAACATTTATATCTTTGAAGTTTAGGCTTTTTATTTTTGTAAAATCTATTTTCCAGTGTTTTTAGGCATAGTCCCACGATAACCAGTGGTTTTTATTTGTTGCAGTACTTTTAGATTTACCAATTGGCACTGAGGGCATCTGAAGCTCACAGACTGGGCTAGCTTGATATTAGTCCTGGGAATCTCTCAGAAGTTGAGCTGCCAGATGCTGGTCTTTTTAAGTGCAAATGGGCTCTGACAAAGAAAATAGGTGAGATCAGCAGTAATGTCAAGCTTATCTCAATCCCCACTGATTTTGGGGCTTTCTGGCTGTCTTTTGGAAGGTGGCATTTGCCAAATTATTTTCTCCTATAACAAGATCATCTTCTGCCCAATGGCTTATACAGCAGATAGTAGCCACTCTCCTTGGCATCTAGATGGCAGCCAACAAGTCCAAATTTGGGGAGCAATTGTAATCTTACCATTTTTGATAAAGACAACTTGAGGCCTCAGTGTGGACAACGAGTTTAGCCCACTATGCTGATGTCTCTGGCTCTAAGATTTGTTCCCATAGAACCTAAGATTTTGTGTAATGGCAGCTCCCATGACCTGCTTACCTTGATAGATGTAACTGCTTCCATCAGAGAAGTAGAACTCTAGATAGTAGCTTATCCACTAGATAAGGTCGACGTTCCGTGAGGTGATCAATGACCTCAGTACAATTGTGGTGAGGCAACGAGGGGTCGTCCTCAGGCAGCAAAGTAGCCAAGTTTGAAGCTGCTGTTTCCAGAAAGAGTGCCTGATAATGTATGGCTCAGGAATTAGACATCCATCAGTCTGGTGGGGCCTTGATGAGAGTCTCCAGTGAATAGGAGGAAACAATTAAGAGTTTGTGTCCAAAAGTCAATTTTTAATCCTCCTGTATGAGGGGGCCACTGAGGAAATCACTGTAGACAGGGTGGCCATCTGGCTGTCACAGAACCAAGTCTCTTGGAAAGGTAGGCAACAGACCTCTGCCAGGGTCCCAAACTCTGGATCAGTCCTGTGGCTCCTAGAAATTTTGTACTTGTCTTTTAGTCACAGGGACTGGAATCCGTTAGATGGCTCACAACAACCAGTGCAGTCTTTTTTTGTGTAGACTGGTTCTGACAAGGTCGGGGGGACTCGAATTAGAGCAGTTACTTTCTCGGCTGGCCTCTCTGATGTGATTGTTACTCTTTGAGTGGCCTGATCTGCCAAATTGTTTTCTCAGGTGAATAGCAGCAATCTGCTGACAGCCAGACTGCTGCCAGCAAATCTAGGATTTGTGGAGCCCTCTTTTTTTTTTTATTTTTTTATCTTAGCTCTGGCCGAGGTTAAGAGACTTCGCTCTTAATAGATGGCTCTATGTATATGTATAGTAGCAAAAGCATATCTACTATCAGTATAGATGTTTATCCTCTTTCCCGTGGCTAGTTTTAGTACCTCAGTCAAAGCAATGAGCTCTGCCTTTTGGGTAAAGATGCTAGGCTCTAACCGTTTAACCCAGAGTACCTCCTTTTTGGTGGTCACTGCTGCCCCGGCCACTCATCTGCCTCTGCCTCCTGGATGAAGCTGCTTTCATCTGTGAAATTTCTCAGGTCATTGTCAGGCATAAGGGTGGCCAGGTTTAAAGCTGAAGAAGTCTTGAAAACTACCAATTCTTGGTCTAGGAGCAGGGCCTAATAGTGTGAGATTTTAGCATTCACATTTTCGGGAGGGGTTTTGATAAGAGTCTCTAAACTGTGGGAGGTCACTACAGAAATCTGTCCAAAAGTGAGTACCTTAGCCTCTTTTAAGTAGCATTGCCACAGCAGCCAGAATTTTTAGGCATGGAGGCCACCCTCTTGCTGCTGGATTGAGCCTTTTGGAAAAATAGGCTGTAGGCCTCTTCCAAGGGCCAATGTCCTGGGTTAGGACTCCTTTGGCAATGCCCCTGAGTTTATCTATGAACAAGGGGAATGGCTTGGTAACATCAGGGAGTCCCAGGGCTGGGGCCTCTGTCAAGGCCCACTTGAGCTGCTGCAAGATCCGTTCACATTTATCAGTACAGTTTAGTGAGTTTTTCCCTTAAGGGAGCCATATAGGGGGTGAGCTGTTTCAGTAAAATTTAGAATCCACAGCCTGGAGTATCCGACAGCTTCCAGAAATTTGCGCACCTGTTTCTTAGTTTCTGGGAATGGGATCTGCAATATAGCCTGGGCTCCTTTTTAGACAAAGTCCTCCTTTTTTTTTTTTTTTGCAATTTGTAGCCCAGATAAGTCACAGCCTGACAGCACTACTGGGCCTTTTTAGCTGAGACTTTATAGCCTAATTGCCCCAAAGTACTTAACAGTTTCTCAGTTGCCTCTCGATAAGCTTACAAGCTTTTGGGGCGGGGGTTTGAGGCTATTAACAAGTCATTCACGAACTGGAGGAGCACTATCTCAGGGTGTTTTTGTTTTTTTCTTAATTTTAAAAGATCTCTTGTGTTATCTCTATCAACTGGCTGAGGGGCATTTTCTCAAAAACTCTCAAACCTTTGTAATCTTTTTTCTAACATGTGGGGCCGACTGAGTTGCAAAGAGAACAACTGGCGATGCTGGGGAAACCCCCTTACCTCTGGATGTCCAATCGGGGTGGGACAAAGGGAAAAACATAGTTTTGGCATTCCAGATCAGAGAGCAGGCTTTATCTGGATGGCACACCACCTTTTGTCCCAGGGTGCCACGTGGCAGGCCATCATTTTACTGAAATTACATACTTAACAAAAAGAAGCCTTTTCATAGGTAACAAAATTGTGCCATATAATCTACCAGATGTCCACAGCACATGTAAGAACTTATATCTTAACTCTATTATCATCTATAATCTCATATTAATGGAAACACTTTGCAGCAAAGGTTTAGAATCTTATAAATAAATCTACCAAAACTGATCTAATACTGTCAAATTTTGAACACATTTACTTCTTGTCAAACCTGCTGTTTTCAGTACTATAACCAAGGCAAATAAAATTTACATTATCTCGAGCTTTTTACAACTTACAATATACCTCCAAGTTTTATCTTTTTTCATATTCTGGCACAGCCAGACATTTTTACTTGAAGACAAACCACTTTCTTTGTCCCTCCTTTTTACTATCACCATTCAATTACCTTTTCTCTCACTTCTCAGACAACATTAAAACTCACAACAAAACCCTTGAAGTCACCTTCTAGTAGTCTAAATCATAGTAAATTATTTTATGTCTTTTTACCACATTAAAATGCTGTTTTTTTAAAACAATAACCTTTTTACTGGCTCAATTACAGTATGACCTGGTTTTCACTTGGTAAAGTTGATATGATTCTTAAAAACCATAAATATACACATATATGTGCACATATGTTTACTTTTTAACCAGAAAGAAAAATACTCCTTTTAAAAGGCATGCCGAGGTTGCAGCAATCAATTGAAGACTTACATATTAAACAAGGCGCCACAACATTAAAGACACAAACAAAGGGTGCTTCTTGCACAGTTTGGTGAGCTCAAGGAAATAATTTTTCTTATTATGAACCTTGAATCTAATAAGCCATATGGATCCTGCAACAGAAATGAGCAACAAGCCCCTAAGTTAGTAACAAATTTAAACAGGCAACCAAGGAGGAAAATGGCCAATACTGTAGGGAGGGCATTTTTCCTTCAGCTGTACCATCATTAATCATGTCCTTCTTAACCTGGAGAGAAAGATTGTGAGCTCACTCTCAAACCTCGGGCCAATGGTCCAAGGTAAGGGAGAGAGGAGATGAAGTTGTCTGTCCCATCTTATCCTGGAGAAAAAGAGAATAATAACAATGAACAGGGAAGACACAGACAAACACAAAAAGTTTACATTTCAGAACACAACTCACAAGCCGGCGTCATGCACACACATATCAAAACCACCAGGTGGAAATGAACCGGCAGAGTATTCCACTGCGAACGTAGCCGTGAAATGGCTACAACTAACGGCAGGAGCGACCTGCCCGACTCAGCAGGAGCGAGCTGCCTACGTGAACCGGTGAGTGTCCCCCAAGAGAAACAAACTGCCTTTGAAATCAGAACCAAAGAAAATGAACGGTTCAGGGCAGTAAAAGAAAGGGGAGAAATTAAGCGATTGATCAAGATGAACGTAAACAAAAACCGGCCGTACTACTTACCCCAGAGAGGTGCCATTGGGGTCTCCCTCTGCGAGGAGGTCTGATCTCAGTTTGATCTCGCTGGGGCCTCCAAATGTAAGACTGGTGTCACAAGGAAGACTCCAAGGGCCTCGCTCTCATGTAAGAACAAAAGGGTTTTTATTATTCTGTGTACACGGGGTCCTCCAAACAGGTGGAAATGGAGAACCCTGAGTTGGGGCAAGGCTGGTGTTTTTAAGGGGGAAAAACTGCAATGTAAGCGTTTATTACAGAAGCCAATCATTACAGTTAGTGCGGAACATTGGGCATCTTATCTATCTGCTATTGGTCAGTTCATAAGGGGTGACCAGTGGGTCAGAGTTAATTGTCTTTGTTTTAAGACATCTGGTTTCTGTAGGCTCGAGTCTGACATATTTTACAACCCCGATTAGCATAATGGCAGGCTCTATCTCTGAGTTCCCTGGCACAGCACATCCTGAGAACATCACAGCCACAGATTTTTTTTTTTTTTCTTCCTTCAGGGCTGAGTTAGGACTGAGTCACGAGGCCCAGTGCTGTTTCTAGCTGAGAAACAGCATCTTGTTTTTAACCTTTAAATTTCTGGTTTTTCATTAGAATTTCATTAATATCAAATGCTCTTTTAGATTCCTATTTATACATGACAGGGTTCACAATTAGTAATGTCTTTTTCAGGTGACAAAAGAAAGCCACCTATGAATCCATTTTCACCTATATCTTGTCCAGAAATTCAACTGCTTTGGATAGATTATTTGCTTAGGGCCTAAAATGGTATATAATTCTTTAAAAATATAACCTTGAAAAACACAACTCCTATAAGGCAGGAGATTTGTCCTATTAAGACCTTCAGAAAAGCTCCCTGCTGCCTTACCCCCAGGCAGTTCTCTGGATGTTAGTTCAAAATGTGCAAATTTTTCCACTAGCAAATAAGAGAGTGTCAACTATTTTGCTCCTAAATGAGCCAATCCTTGGATTTGGATGCAGATTTCTGCGTCAATGACTTTCCTTTGGGAACAAAAGAAGTTTCTACACATTCCTACTGGCTCTTTCATGAATCTAATTCTCCTTTATTCTTGGCTGTCTAGGAAGTAGAAGGGCAATTTGTTCTTTACTTGGATATTTTAGTTAGAGATATTCATGGATTCTTGCTTTAGCAGAAAAGGGAATAAAAGTTAAAGCAAATATTTAAATGAAAAAATATTAATTTCTAAGTAAGATGACAAATAGGAAAAGATTCTAATTTAAAGGGTGCATTCTGTTACATGGGTTCAAACTGACCTACCCATGAAGAGAGGAAGCCATCTTTCAAGGATTAGCTGGTAAGTAAAATCTCCATCATTAACTCTCTCCTGGTATGCTAGAACTGAAATTTTCCTAGCTGAGGAATGGTTCCGTTCCCAATAAAGGATAGTCTCTCTCTGAGTGGTCTCAATCAAGTCAGGCTACACTTTTTCTGGAATATAGTTGATCACAGGTTTGGGATATCTGTTACCTGACACTAAATTAGCTGGTGATCAAGTGATCCTGGAATTATCAGGCTTAAAACTCATGAGCAATAAATTGTTTTACTAAGTTTATTGGTATGATTTAGATATATACAATGATCACATTCATCATAAGGAATTTGTGCCTAGATATGATACATCTTGGTTCCTCTTTTTGCCTGTTAGTTCTCTCCCTTCAACTCCTCTTCCTTTTATTTATAAAGCTTCTTATTCATTTTGTCCTTTTCTCATTTTTAAATTTTCTCTTCCTATCTCCTGTTCACTCTCCCTAGCTTCCTTTTTCTTTTGAAACAATTTCTTCCGATTCTGCAATATCCATTATATATTTTTGTCTTTATTGGCATTTTCAGTTTTTGTAACAGGGAGATAATGAAATAGTTACACATGTGTCCAATTTATTTCACTAAAGAGTATGTCAAAGTCCATCCATTTAGCTATAAATGTCTCAAATTTGCTTTGTGGGTGAATAGTACTGCATTGTATAAAAAATACAGAATTTTATGCATTTTTGGTTGATAGACATTTATGTTATTTTCAAGATTGAGCTACTATGTGCTACTATAAACATGGGTGTGCATATTTTTCTGTGGTATGTTTTTAAAAAAAATTTAAGGAAAATAATAAGAAAGAGAATACCTGGGTCAAATGAAACATCCAGCCTACATTTCTTTAGGAATCTCAACATAAATTTCTACAGTGATTTCCCCAGTTGACATTTCCTACAGCAATGAAGAAGGGTTCCTTTTTCCTTACAGCCACATCAGCAATTCTTATTGTTTGATTTCTTCATAATAGTCATTCTTTCTGGAATGAAATGGAATAACACTTTTGTATTAATTTACAACTCTTGAATGATTAATGAAGTTGAACATTTTTATGTATTTATTTTCCACTTGTACTTCTGCTTCTGAGTAGTATGTATAAATCTCTATTTTCCTTTTTTAATTGAGATTTTAAGTATGGAGGATCTGATTTTTAAAAATTCTTTGTATATTCTAGATATTAGTCATTTGAGAAATAACTGGTTCAAATTTTTCCCAATCTGTGGGTTGGTTTTTTCACTCTGTTGATAATTTTTTTTTGTTGTGAAAAATCTTTTCAGTAAGATGAGATTCTAGTTGTTGATTCTTTGCAGTATAATCCATGCAGTGAAGATTTTGTTTATGAAGTTTCTACCTACACCTGTGGCTTCAAGAATTCTACCTAGTCTCTTCTCCAGTAGATTTAGTGTTTCTATCCTAATAGATCTTTGATCCATTTCAAATTTAGTTCAGTGGATAGTGATCAACATGGATCTAGTTTTATTTGTTGGCACGTGAAAAGCCAGCTTTTTCTTTATCATTTATTAGAGACAGTGTTTTCCCCCACTCAAGATTTTTGTCCCCTTTGTCAAAGATAAGTGAGTTGAGTGTATTTAAAGTTATTTCTTCATTTTCCAACTTGTCTCATTTATCCTCAGGAATTTTTTTTTTTCTTTTTCCAGTCTCATGCTGTTTTTATCACAGTACCTCTGTCGTACCAAGTCAGAGACTGCGATGCTCCTATCTTGTCTTTGTCTCAGAATTGTTTTGGCTATTCTACATGTCTTCTCTTTTCCAATTAATTTTAGGAATGTTTTATTCAGTTCTATTAGACATGTTAATACTATTTTGATTGGAATTGCATTAAATCTGTATAACAATTTTGGGAGCATAGCCATTTTAACTAGGTTATTACTTTCTATCTAATAAAATAATAGAACTCTACAAGGAAAATTACAGTACTTTGAAAAAGGAGATTGAAGAAGCAATCAGAAAACAGAAAAAAAAATAATCACCCATATTAAAATATATTGTGTAGCACACTGAATAGAGTAAGAGGCTATTTTAACAAATATCATGTTCCCTTTTAAGTAATTCTGATTGGCTCTACCTATTTATTTTATTCTTAATCTTTGTTTTTCCTAAATACGAAAGCTCAATATGAGGTGGTTTACAAAGTGAAAAAATGCTAGCATGTATAATTCTAAAGAGGATTATTCATAATTAAAATATTTATAGTGAAATTTCTGTCATTTTGAGATATATTTTCTCCAAGAATGAAAATATATTTCCTGCAGAGTGACTACAACTACTTACATTTAAGAAAGGAAAATATCATCTTTTTTTAATATTCTGGGTTATCTCTCTAATGAAATAAAATTACAGAAAAATAAATTATCATACCCTGTCTCCCTTTCCACAATTGAAACATTAGGTACAACCTGATGTTTGCATAGAAAATTATTTGTAGGTATGTTTGTATCTAGATGTCCTCCTAGTGTCTCATGCAGTCATGAACTATGGAGCTTTTCACAGAAGGCTAAATCTAGTGTGACAGATTTTAGTGCAGAGCTGGGATTAACAGTGTTGGAAATAAGTGTGGATGATTGCTGGATCAGTCCACTAATTGAATTGGCACTTCTCTAATCTCAGTTGCCTGGATACTGTATAATGGTTAGAAAGGCTTGTTTTGTTTGATCTCTTGTTTTTGCTATCTTACATCACAATAAACTGTTGCTCCTCTGCCACATACCTCCCTGCTTGGAATCAATTATGGAGCGAAACCTCTACAAACTGTGAGCAAAATAAACTTTTTCTGCTTTAACTTTTGGTATAGGGTATTTTTGTCCCAATCTCAAGAAAAGTTTAACTAAGACAATACAATCAAATTAGGAGTTTCTAGGCATCTGCAATCTTGACTTTTCCTTTGTCTTTGGAAATCTGAGAAATAGGACAACTGGCTCTTGGACACATCGAATTCTGATTCTAATTTTATGAATAAATAATTGCAAATGAATTTTTATTATAATTCCTTCTCAAAATTACTTAAATTGCAAACAAAATATTCAGTTCTCATTTCCTCCACTAGGCTTTAGGACTTATAATATTATGTTTTACATTACTACAAATCTAACTTCTAGTGACAGTTGTAGTGTTTCACAACCCAACTCTAACCCCAAATATAGTATAGTCAGTTTGCAACTTATTTGCATGAGAATACAACCTATCCCAAATGTATATTTACATCAAGTGTAATTGGTGTAAGAAAATAAAATCATGTTGGAAATAACATGGACATTGAAGTGTAAGAGAAGGAGACACAGAATTTTTAACCATAAATTTCTTGGTCCCAAAGGTCTACAGTAGAAATGGAAGATATAAAGGAAAGGATTATAACTGTCAAAAACATTGTATGATTGAAGTCATTCTCTTCCAGATCTGTGATGCCTCCTTTGTGAATAAACTGCCATTCTATATTGGGAGCTCATATTACTGTTGTACAGGATGGAAATCAGTCACCATCTGCCTATCTATATATCTGTCATCTGTCTGTCTGACTGTCTAACTATCTATCTATAATTTCTAAAATATAGCAACCTATATTTTTCTTTTCTTGTTTTATAATGAAACCTAATGTTCATTTTTTTTACGTTCATCTGTATGTAAGTACTACATTTCCACATGACCATAGCATATTCTGATTAAACCCCATTCTTCTCTAAAACCTTTTTGATGCATTGCTCTTTTCTTCCCCCCAAAAAAATCCTTTAAAAATTACAACAACATTCACCAAAATATATCATTAAATATATAATTTGTTAATATAGCTTAAACAAAAGCAATAAATTTTAGTAGTCTTTCTAAATAGTAAATCATCGAAAGAGTTTAATCTTAACAAGACAAGGTAGCCCTGAAGAAAAAAATTAACAGTGAATATTTCAAGATTGACACATTTATAAAAGAGAAGTGTCGCTGATTTTCACTGTTAGCATTCTTCAGATGTGTCATTAGCAGGTTACCATTGTAGCCTCAAGGTATATTAAACTCAAACTAATTTAGGAAATCACTGATTTTTTTAAAGTTTCAACTAATAATAATTATAAAAGTGCTGAAACTAACATGCAACGTTTAGATAAAGATTGATACTATTCTATATATAAATTACTAAAGTGAACACTTTCTCTGTGAGAAAACTGGCTAATAGTAAAAAAGAATATTAATAGCTTGTATGCTAAGTGAAAATTATATACCAATATTTATTCTAAGTGAGTTAACAAGTTGATATAAAAACAAAATAACAATTTAGATTGGAATATTGATATATTAATTAAACCAGAAAATGAGTTTTGTGGTCATAATATAAAATGTGAACATTTAAATAGGTTAATTAATGTTATTTTGTAGAAATTAAATTTTGAAATCAACTTTTATAAGAATAGAAATACTAAATTCATTAAAGTCCCACTACAAAGTACAACACATTCATAATGTGTTAGAAACAAAGGTTTTATATTACAATGTTATTATAAATTAGAAAATAAAAATACTATTGACCCAATATTACACTTTACTATTGTTAGACAACTTACAAAATAAATCATTTAATAAATAAATTAATCATTTATTCTCTGCTATTAATAAAAGAGTTGCAAATCAAAATATTATCCATACTTTTTCTCTTGGCAGATTTTTATAACATTAATGACTAAGGCTGATCAATAAATCAAGAAAGAGGGACTTTTCCTTGAGATAGAGACTTATTGCGTAGTTCAGGGTAATGTTGAACTAATTATGTTACCTAGATTGATCTTGAACTTGAAATTCCTGCCTTAACCCTCCTCAGTGCTAGAATTACAGACTAGTAACACCACATTCAGCAGGAGTAAACACTTCCATATCCATACACAGGAAGATATAGTCTCATATTTTGTTTATTTTATATCTGTTATTGTATAAGTATATAAGATAGTATGAACAAAATAATGAACATAAAATCATCAGCATTATTCCACAAGAGGATATCCTTGAAAGTAAGTTTTTATTTCTAATTATTAGGTCCACTAAAGAACATATATTTGGCATTCCTTTTGAAGTAAATTCTATTTTGATTTCTAGACAAAGAAATTTAAAATTAGTGTTTGTGTGTGAGAGAGACAAGGAGTAAATAACATTATACTCAATTATTTTCAATAAATGTCTACAATAAAGTAAGTTTATGCTTCAGAGAGAATTAATTTAAAAATAAAAAAGTAGATTGGCCCATTTGACTCAATAAATTTATATTTATCTGTTTTTGCTGTTGTTTGTCCTATTTTTTAGAATGACATCCTAAGTTCTGTATTGCTATGTATAAGATTCAGTCTCTAAAATGCCACAGAATGATCTGTATATCCTTCCCATTCTGAATATGATTGCTAAGCTCTTCTTTTTTTACATGAAGTCTATCAAATATTTTTATTGCAAAGTATACTATCAAAAATTAGTTGAGAATGTGACATATAAAGTAACAGTCATTCTTTTTCCACAGTAATTCAGTGCTTATTTAACAAGTCCATACAAAAATTCTAGTAGTCCCAGAGATAAGAGCTTTATACTTAGCATCTATGCTTAGATTTATACTTGCCTTATCACAAGGTTCTTATAGCTTCCAGGATTGCTGAATACTCAGTCTGCCTATAGGAACATTTCAACTGTAAGTCCATGCTTATTGCTAAAATACCTGGGGAAATTGATTTATTTGAATAAACCCGAGGAAAAGAGGGAGGTTCAGGTAACTTATTAATATTTCAGTTGCCCAATGTTACTGGCTATTAAATACAACAAATTAATAGATAACTACCATATTTGCATTAACTTCCTACATTAATGAGTCATTAGGTGATTTATAAGAATAAGAAACACCATCAGTTGAATATCTGCAGGGAAAAGGAAATCTGTAAGAAATAAGTAAGTAAACAAAGATGACAATCTTAGGCCATAAAAACTACCCCAAAACCTAGGACAGTAAAAATTTAT